GAGGGAAGGGTGGGTAGCAGAGAATGGAATTATTAATAGTAAAAAAAAAAAAAAAAAATTCAGATGCTGACTTGCATGTTTTTTTTTTTTTAATGAACGTGGTGACTTAAGTGACAAGCCTGGACTTGCTTCAGCACTTCCTAATGGCTGTTTGCTTTTCCTGTTTAGGAACCTGCAGAACCTCCTCATTCTCACAGCCATTAAGGCTGACCGTACTCGTGTCATGGAATATATCAACCGTCTGGATAATTACGATGCTCCAGATATTGCCAACATTGCTATCAGCAATGAGCTTTTTGAGGAGGCATTTGCCATCTTCAGAAAATTTGATGTCAACACCTCAGCTGTGCAGGTATCTCACTTGCTTCTGACTGCCTTGAAACAACATGACCTGAAAATCATGTCCCGAGTGCTTCTGATGCACAGTTGTGTCCATTTTGCTTGAAGCTGGCACTCCAGTAAAGCAAAACATGAATTTTGGGGGGGGTGTCTTTTTTTAAACACAATTTTGAGATTCAGTGCAAAGTCTAGGCCTGGATTTACTAAGGACACTTCTGTACTGGCAGTTGCTGACAGTCCCTTTCCTTCAGGTATTGATTGAACACATTGGAAACCTGGACCGTGCATATGAGTTTGCTGAACGCTGCAATGAGCCTGCTGTGTGGAGTCAGCTTGCTAAAGCGCAGCTTCAGAAAGGGATGGTAAAGGAAGCAATTGACTCGTACATTAAAGCAGATGATCCTTCCTCCTACATGGAAGTTGTTCAAGCTGCTAATGCCAGTGGTAGGACTCTGGACTTTTGTATAATCTAAGTGAATGTGTCTTCAAATATGAGAAGTCTTTTTAATTGTGTTCAGTCCACTCCTTGTAGCTTTGTGGAAGCAGTATTAACTTCCCCCAACCTGAGAAATGGGGTTGTGGGGTGGTGGGTGGCTGATTACTAGTTTGATCCAAGGTAAAGTAAACTTGAGGGGCATCAGCCCAAGTCCATTATGAAGCAAATTTTTTAGCCTCCCAACTAAGTAAGAACAATAGAAGCCAGCTATATCATGCTGTATCTTTTTTTTTTTTCTCAAGTTGTACTTTTTCATACACTAAAAAAGGTTCTTCCAAGCTTGACCAAACAAAACCTGAAATGAAAAAACTAGGTAGTAGCTTCTGTTTTGATGCATCTAAGTCTCTCAGCTGTTGATTCTGTCCTTCTAAGCTTGCTGCCACCTGTCAACAATGAGCCTTTTTCCCTAGTCTTGCTGGGAGGGGAGCTACTAGGGAAAGTGGGGGGCAAGCTTTTAGACTTAAGAGCCAAATGGAAATGATTGCTCTTTTTATAGTCTTTGTCATTTCTGAAGTCCTTTCTTCCCCTTCCTCCCTAGGAAACTGGGAAGAGCTGGTGAAGTACCTCCAGATGGCACGCAAGAAGGCCCGAGAGTCGTATGTGGAAACCGAACTCATTTTTGCTCTGGCTAAGACGAATCGTTTAGCTGAGTTGGAAGAGTTTATCAATGGACCTAACAATGCTCACATTCAGCAGGTGAGTTTCTCATCCTTGGCTACTTTCTGCTGTGACCCTGAGTGGCTCTGAATCCAGCCAGCAAACTTGGTCTTGGATTAGTTCTGAAGCACTAAAACTAATTCAGGTGGGGTTTGATTGTTGCAAATAGCTCTAGATGGGGCTGCAGCTCGTGGAGTAGTTGGGAGGGATGTGCCTAGGCTTCATGGTGTTCTAAAGATGCATGTTTCTCTGAAGTCTTACTAATAAGACAAGCTCTTGTTGGTCTTGGAGTAAACTTTTTTTTTTTTTATTTTGCTTAAATCGTAGGTTGGCGACCGCTGTTATGATGAGAGAATGTATGACGCTGCTAAGCTATTGTATAATAATGTATCAAACTTTGGCCGGCTGGCATCCACGCTAGTACACTTGGGTGAATACCAAGCGGCTGTAGATGGTGCTCGGAAAGCAAACAGTACTCGGACATGGAAGGAGGTAAGCTGCTACCCTGAATCTCGACATTCGGACCTGTTTCTGCTCGGAGATTTAAATATCTCAAGGGGTTGCTTCTGTGGAAGCTATAGGGGGCGGAAAACTGGACGCTGGTGGATGATTTGGTAATGGGCTAGATGCTGCTTCATACTTCTCACTGGCCACATCTGAATATCTACTCAACTTTCAGGTCTGCTTTGCCTGTGTTGATGGGAAAGAGTTCCGCCTAGCCCAGATGTGTGGACTTCATATCGTAGTGCATGCAGATGAGCTGGAAGAACTTATCAACTATTACCAGGTAACTGTTGGAAGAGAGAACTCGGTCCATATACAAAGGTCTGATGTAACGGAACCTCTTGGTTTCTAACTGGGCACAACTTAATCCAACTACTGCTTCAGCTTCTGGCTACAGCCAGTCTAACTATTCCTCTTTCTCTCTCTCTCCTTTTGTAAGGATCGTGGCTATTTTGAAGAGCTGATAACTATGTTGGAAGCTGCACTAGGACTTGAGCGTGCACACATGGGAATGTTTACAGAGCTAGCAATCCTGTATTCTAAATTCAAGCCACAGAAGATGAGGGAGCACTTGGAGCTCTTCTGGTCAAGAGTCAATATTCCCAAGGTAAGCCACAAATGCATCTTGAGAAGATTTAAGTACCCTGTGGCGGGGAGGTGTAGTGTTTGGTTCTCTTTTGGGGGGGGGAGGGGGTTAGCTTGTAGAAGCTGGTTTACATTCTGTGGGAGTCCAAAATATTAATGAAATGTTAATGTCTAATACTGCACTTTTAGCTGTACTTTTAATATTGAATGAGTGACAAAGGAAATTATCAAGCAGTTGAGTGCTGATGTGTTCTTCTTTCTCCCAGGTGCTAAGAGCTGCAGAACAAGCTCACCTGTGGGGTGAACTGGTGTTCCTGTATGATAAATATGAAGAATATGACAATGCTATCATCACAATGATGAACCACCCAACAGATGCTTGGAAAGAAGGACAATTTAAAGACATAATCACCAAGGTGAGAGATTCGCTACCTGATTTGGCCTGAAAGTGTCTAAAGAATTGTTCTGCATGTGTTTGGCCCCCCTCCCCCCATATAAGAATAGTCGAGCATCCAAAGGGACTTTCCTATTACATTTGGCATAATCCTCTATTGCAGCCTCCCTGGGATAGGGGTCATGAAGTAGAAAGCATGACATGCTATGCTGTTTTACGTGTGTACAGTGCAGGACACGAATATCCATAGGACCCTGGGAAATGCTAAGAATTCCTAATGGCTTGTTGACAGGTTTTGGGTAATTTTATTAACTTACAGTGGAGAAGTGCATGCAGGAAAGTCCTCTGAAGTAGGATGTGTGGGTCTACAGAACTGACAAATGATCTTGTTTCCCTCTCTGTTAGGTGGCTAATGTGGAGCTGTATTATAAAGCAGTCCAGTTTTATTTGGAGTTTAAACCCTTGCTGCTCAATGACCTTCTGATGGTGCTGTCTCCCCGGCTGGATCATACTCGTGCTGTCACCTTCTTCAGTAAGGTAATGGCCACGTAGCCCGTCCTCTAAAGAAATCTGAAGTAGAGAACCTTCAGCCATAGCACTTTAAAAAGACCTCCCTCGCTTTTACCCGATCACTGCCAGGAGGGAGGCAAAGCTGAACAACTTGGATTGTTTCCTGTACTGATCTCTTTAATCGCCCTGCTTTCTCAAGGTTAAACAGCTGCCGCTGGTGAAACCTTACTTGCGCTCTGTTCAAAACCACAACAACAAATCTGTGAACGAGTCTCTGAATAACCTCTTCATTATAGAAGAAGACTATCAGGTTGGTACCTGCAACTTTCTTAACATGAACAAGTAACTGCTTAAACATGGACCAGGATGATGGCAATACTAGTATAAATTTTGCAACTCTTGTCTGTCGCATCTTTTATATGGCTGCAGTTAACTTGTCAGTCTTAATTACTTCATGACATGTTGAAGCTCTTAACTGGCAACACATGCTATTGTTGCACTTGACACGGCTGTTCTATTAAGGTAACTGGGTTGGTTTCTCTGAGGTGACTGATTTCTCTTGCAATTCAGGCTCTTAGGACATCCATAGATGCCTATGACAACTTTGACAACATTTCCCTTGCTCAGCGTTTGGAGAAGCATGAATTGATAGAGTTCAGGAGAATTGCTGCCTATCTCTTTAAAGGCAACAACCGCTGGAAACAGAGTGTAGAACTCTGCAAGAAAGACAGACTTTACAAGGTAAGATGAAGAACAGGCAGGGCAGACTTGATTTCACATAGCTTGGTAGCTTGCTACAAGCTGGCACTAGTAACTTCGGTAGTCTCCAGCACATGGAGTTGAATTCCTCTTTTTGAGGCTTTGTGGTCAGGTTTATTCCTTTGTCACACTGGTTGCTCTAAGTGTTTCACTTGCTCCCATCTCTCTCTCTCTCCCCCGTGCGCATGCCAAAATGTTAGAATGGCAAGTCCTAAAGCTTGTAGCTTGGAGGCCTTTAGTGGCAGTGCTCAAAAGTGAGCTGTGCTTGGTATGACTGCCTCGGTGAAGATCTAGGTCCCTTGCCCCCAGGTAGGTAAACTCCCTCTTGGATCTTAGGGTGTTTGGTCTTTTTTTTTCCTGTGCAGGATGCAATGCAATATGCTTCAGAATCCAAAGATACAGAGTTGGCCGAAGAATTGCTGCAGTGGTTCTTGCAGGAAGACAAGAGAGAATGCTTTGGAGCTTGCCTCTTCACCTGCTATGATCTTCTGAGGCCAGATGTTGTCTTAGAAACTGCATGGAGGCACAACATCATGGACTTCGCCATGCCCTATTTTATTCAGGTCATGAAGGAGTACTTGACAAAGGTAAAAGCTTTTTTGTTAAACACACTAAAGTGTTTGCTAGCAACTTGCCATCTTGTGAGACCTGTCTGCTATTAAGGCTAATACTGGCTCTTTTTCCAAAGTCTGTCCTGTCTGTCTGTACCTTTTTTCCTAATCTCACCAAAATGGGTTGAATATGCTCATTATGTGATACCTGCTAGGGAAAACGGGAAGTGCTCTATCCTAACCATCAGTGTTGGAACCTATACACATGTACTTGCCTGCTGACCTAGGCAGTGGGGATTTTAGGTCAAAGACATGGTTCCCTTTTTATCAGAACTCAACCCCACCCCCTAAACCCCCATACTAAATTGCCCTTGCCAGCTGTGGTACTCCTAGCCCAAGCAGGGGGCCTCAAATGGTGTTTTGTAGTTGGGCCCTTAATCCTGTAGAACTGTCTGCTATGGTCTCGAGTTACTGACTGATATCTAGCTTTTTCGATACCTTGGCACCATGCCACTTGTTGCTAGCTCCCTGAAATAAAAACCAAATGCAGCATTCCAAATCTGGACTTGCGTTTGGTGTCGGGGGGGAAGATGCATTTTACTTATGCTTATTTAAAAAAAAAAAAAAGCAGACCTAGTAACTGAGCACTCCACCATCTTAGTCTTGCTCTACTTTCCCCATCCCCTTCCTTGCTGCTTAGATGCTCTTTCCTTTTTGAGGGGTACTTTTTTTTCTCTAGAATCCCATGCATACTTCTAAAAACAATTGGGGTTTCTGTTGGGACTAAAGATGCCTACACTTGTCTGTAGGCTTAACTTGTACTCACTCAAATGACACTGGGGGTTTTGTCCATAGCTTGTTCTTCAGATTACTTCTGACTTGGTTAAGTTTTTTACTTTTTGTAGACTGCTTCTGTCCTATGGATTTAAGGACTTGCTGTGACCCCCCCCCCACCTTTTTTCCCAGCAAGAGGTCATAGCTGAATAAATAGCTAGATCTTTTATGTTGGGGAATGGAACTCCTAATTCTAAGTGCATAATGCTTGCACAGGATGTACCTATCAACACCTCAAAGGCAAGGCTTCTTTGGCAGTTAGCCACTGTTTTGTTTACAAAAGACTTCCTTTTTGTTTGTTCTGCACCTGGTATGTACACTTGGTGATCTCCTGCAGGCCACTAAGTGTAGCCCTTTGGCCACAAGGGGATAATTTGATTGGCCCAAATGGCTTAAGTGTAGTAGGCCTCATCTTGCCCTTGGATTAGAATTCTTTAATATTAAAATTAATTTTAACTCTGAAATCTACCAGGCATCTATTTGTAGACATTTAAACTAACTAAGCTGGTAACCAATACATAACCACTGTTTGTTTTTCCTGGTTTTTTGGGATATAACCCCTTGTATACCCTGTCTTCTGTTTTGTGCTTTTTTCCTTTGGTACTTCATATCAACCTCCTCCCTAACTCTCTCATTTCTACCTTTTTTATATGCTAAATATGGAATTTTGGGTTTTTTCTAAGCTGCACCTTCTGAATTCCTTTGCAGGTTGATGCAATAAAGGAAAAGGTGAAAGTTGATTCTTGTTTTCCATCTTTTAAGTGTGGAGGACTAAGTCTAAAGAATCTGCATGAGTTTTTTTTTTTTTTTTCCTTCCTACCTTTACTACACTGCTGCTACTGCTTTTTTCCCAACAAAAATCTCACTTAAAGCCTCTGCAAGTTGTTTAAATGCTAGTAGTTGGAGCTTTAGGGTAACAGTAGATCCATTTGCTACTAATCGGCTAATAGACTTCTTCAGGGAGGGCATAAGGCTGATCAGCCGGATCACAGTCCAAGGAATCTATCCTAAAAGATAAAAGGATGGTGGCTGCACAGATCTCAATTGGATGAGAATTCCTCTTCTGAAGTAGGGAGTAACTAAATTCAACCACAGACTAATTGGCTCAAAGAAACTTACTGTATGGGTATATGCTTTCCAGCTAGCAAAAGTTGGTTTTGGAGGACTGTGATCCAGTTTCTGATCTCAACAACTAAGGTTTTTTGCTGACAATAGGCAGCAAAAATGCTAGCTGCTTCAGAAGAGACTCTTCCTCACATTTCTTCAGGTGTCCAGTTCTTATGGTGCTAGTCAACTTTTTTTTCATATTCAATAACTTACTTTAAACTACTGAATACTCTGTGCTGCTTTTACCTGCGGTAAGTCTCATGGCTAGGCAAAAACAAGACAGCTTTTCAAACTCTTCAGCTTTTGAGAAATCCCATTCCTATCTCTCTTTTTTTTTTTTTTTTTTTTTTTTTTCCCCCTCCTTTTTTTCTTAAATTAAAGAAACCTGTAATGCTAAAATTTGTGCTCTTCTGAGGCCACTCTGACACTTGCCTATTGCTGGTCAATTATGCCTGCCCTGAGGGTGCACTCTGGCTTCTGTCCATCTCTTTTTTTTTTCCCCGTACCTTGTGCCCACTTCAACTTTTTTCTCCCTGGAATGCAGGGTTACACCAGTGTAGACTTTTTTTACAAGCATAGTACTAGTCTTTAAACTGGTTGGGCAGAGGGCAAGCATGAGGAATGTAATGCAGACTGCCTCCTTGCTGTACTTTATGTGACCACCTTAGTCACCGCTGGAACTTGAGGCCAACCTGACTAAAAATGCATAGCATTAAGGTCCTTCAGCAGCTAATAGGTGAGGCAGTACGAGTGTGTGTGAAAAAAGGTAATTGAACTGCAGTGTCTTGCATTATTAAACACTGCATGTATAGCAGTCATTGCAATTACATCCCACTATTCCTAAAGCTACAAGGCATTGCTGGGGGCCACGTGTGGCTTTTGGGGGGGGAGGCTGTATAGCAATCATCTTCAGACCTCACTTCTTGCTTCAGTACTCTTGCCTTTTTTTCCATGCACACATGACACAAAATAACATTTGAATGCATGTTACTTTTCCTCTGCAGCTTATTGCAGTCTCTGTGGAAAAGCCTTTTCTTATATAGACTTAACCTGCTAATGGCATATAGGGTACTGAACCCAGTGATGCTTAAGCAAGCAGGTATATAAAGACCAATCTTTCAGACCCTCTTAAGTCTCTGTTCATGAAAGTAACTTCTGCCCCCTGTCCAGAGGGAGGCTTTGAAACTAGGTCAGAGAGAGACCAACTGGAGACTTCAGGCTAGGTAGATGGGTGGAAACTCTATAAACTACACCGCTTACCTGTTGCAACCCTGCTAGTATTGCACTGTCCTAAGCAAAGCCTCTTGGAGCTGTGCTTGAGCATCCCAGTACTTGCAGCCATTCTAGTTCATTCCATGTATCTTGTGCAGATGTAATGTGGTGACAACTGTGGTAACACTTTTATAGCAGACTTCCTGTGAAATTATGGAAAGCTGGCTTTCCGTACCTCTGTACCTTCCTGGGGAGGGGGAGTTTGGGCAGGGGAGAGGGGTGGGGTCTACCAATGACCCCTGATCAGCAGGAGTGAATGATAAAAGGCCGCTTGATTCTACCATTCAGTTTGACTGGCCTGGTAATTGGTCAGAAGGGAAATGCAATTCATGAAGCCACAAGGTAGAAGAGTCTTCTGAACTACCACTAGTTTTTAAAGGTACAGTTGTGCACTTGCTTTGGAAACCAAATGTTTGGGTGTTTAGCATACCTGAAGCACATTTCACATCTAACTATTTCCCCCTGTTTAAAACACTACCAGACTGTCTTGACTTGGTATCAAGGCTAGGATTGTGTTCTTCAGAGATCAGTTGGTTCAGTTCTTTGTTACCTTGAAGAGAATTTTTAATAGATTTGACTTCTGAGTGGTGCCTCCCCATGTCCCTAAGTAGCTATGCTTGGCTTATTTAACTCCCATGACACCAGGGTTGTTGCAGTGACTTGGAGCTTCATCCAGCTCGTACTATGGAGTTTCTTGAGAGAGGCCTCTTTTTCAAGTATTATATTCCTGTTTGTGTTTGTTTTTTTTTTATTAAGCAGTTTTCCTTGCAAAGGTCACGGCTTTCTCTTGGGAAGAGGGGAGCTTTTTGTATGGAGGAAAGACATGAAGTAAAGTCTGTCTTTTAAAAGCCTTGGCTTAGAATGGTCAAATGACACCCACCCACACGCTTTCTAATTCTAAATACTTTGGGCAGAACTTGTTTTGACCCATAGCATACACAACTCTACTCTTGCCAACTCTGCTCTTGCTACAAACTGGCTTTAGGAAGATTTAGTTATTTAACTTGGTCTTTAAAGGCAAGTTTTGCGATTTTGAGTAAAAATGCAAAGAATGTGCATGAGTGAACAGCCCTTCTCCAGAGTTTTGTTTTACTAAAAGCAACACTTGAGGCTCAAGTGAGATGAGATGTAAGATGCTGTTGCAGTCGTACCTCCTTAAGCTGCTCTGTGCCTCCCTAAGCATTTCTTTGAAGGAGACACCTAGACCTGGAGACATTTTATGAATCTCCTCCAATTGTTCCAATGAGGAATCCTCCAAGAGTTCAGCAGGTGCCGCACAACTGCGGCATCTCAAACTAGCTTGCTGTGTCATGTCAAAATAGATGATGTACTAGATGTGGTTGAAGTCACTTTGGTGATCTCGCTCTCAAATGTTTCTTATCCTACCATTGTCAACTAGCTTCCCCCAAGCTGGGAGCTTGGAAGCAAAGCTTCAGCCTGGAGTGAGCTTTTTCACAGCAGTTTCATACATCTCAAAACAAGGGAGTTTCCCAGGGAAATGCTGAGACCTTTCTCTTTTTTTTTTTTTTTTTTTGACTGCAGCAGTAACAACATTGATCTAAGAACTTGTAAGTCTCCTCCTTGATGGTGTTTTAAGATAACCACTAAGGCTTTTCCACTGCTCTGCCACACAAGTAAGAGCTACTTATTTACTCAGTTGTGTGTTTTAACTTTTTTTTTATTGGGGTTTGATATTCTTGCAGGTTGACAAGCTGGATGCCTCTGAGTCTCTGAGAAAGGAAGAGGAGCAAGCTACAGAAACGCAACCAATTGTTTACGGTAACGACTTGACTTTGTGCACACGCATATGCACTATTGCACATGCATTTGGATGTGCATAACTGTGCAACTGCAAAAGGAAATGCCTTGTAGGGATGGCTCACTTGATTCCACTCCAAAAATGCAAAGAATTGGTCCCTGGAAAATGAGAGATCATACCCTTTTTACTTCGCAGTAGTCTCTACGACAGCACTCTTCTATCAGAGGATTACCTTAGGAGCCATGTTTTCAAAGAGCCTGCTTTATGGCCTCTCAAAGATGTGGGATAGCATAGCCTCCTTTTGCATACAGGTACACAACTGGGGAAGGTCTTGCTAAAGATCAGGTAGGAGCTACACTCTTTAGGTGACTTTCTTCCCAGTCCTAGTATACTCGGCTCCATTCCAAACATGTCTTCAAAGATCCCTTCGGTGTCCCTGCTCCACTCTCCACTTTGCAATGGAGTCATGTAACAAAGCAATGGGAAGACTGCCTCTCCTGACCAGCACTTGTATCTCTCTTCTCTCACCTGCTCGTGTTTGTCTGGCTATGTAGCTCAAAATGGAAGGTGGGAAGTCGATCCTGTACTTCCCACTTTTTCATTATGTTAAGAAGTGGGGCTCTTCTGACGAGCAGTCTTCTTGCCCTATGCCACCAACTGATCTTACAAAGCGACTCTTGGCATTGGAACTCCAAATAGCCAGTTCCTGAAACTAGGTGTGTTTGCTTGGAACAACAGTTTGATAGCTGACTATATACAGGTTGGAAAAATTAGGAACCCCAGTGTCTTGGATTTGTAGTTCTTTAAATTGTCAATTTTAAGCCTGCCCTTTTGGGGGGGCGGGAAAGGGAAGGTGATGCTCATCTCTAGTGTAAATGGAAACTGGCATGCCTTCTGTTTTTGCGGGGGGAGGGGGAACAGGACTGCTTCAGGAAACTTAAATTTTATAGGTGCTGACAGTAAGCCAGGAATGCAGGTTTTATGGTAGCAGTGCACTACTGGTACCTTGTACTAGATTGACTCTTGTTAGTCACAACCTAGACTTGCTTACAGCACATGGCTCTCAAGCCCTGGCCTCCCCTTGCACAGCTTGAGACCTGGAATATTAGAAATCTACCCCTTTTCACTCTATGTAGATAGAGTGAGATTTCACCCATCTTCCATCACGGGGACAGGAACTTGCTTGCCCTCCTGTCATACCAACCTGATTTGCCTTTTTATGACCAGGTCACAAAAGCCTTGGATGTAGGTGTTGCCATGGATGTAGTCTTTCT